CAAGAGGAGTGGTTGGCCTTCAAATTGATACCAATTATATTGTTCTATGTACTCGGATGTGGGAGTTACACTTAAATATTTACAGGTGCTTACGTATTACGTATATTATTTAGTAACCCATTACCACATTAGATGACGGAAATATATCGATGACCGCTTTGAAATGTTCCATGAGGTTCCAGTTATGATCAAGGACAGCGCCTATAATTTTCGGCAATGATCAGATAAACATGTCGCGATGAAGTGGACCGAAACTTTATTTTTTGTGTTTTTTGGTGTCGATCTATATGCCACAATTATAAGCCAAACATCATAACACAACCCACGGTTAAGAGAAAATGGTCAAGTAATTTGATGGACTGTACTGAATATTAGTAATATTCAGAAAATATGTCAGTGTAAGGAAGATGTGATGTTGACCTAATCGGGCAAGCGGGTGCAAATATCACAAAATATTGCCCAGGCTCTGAATAAAAATGCTCAGAAAGTTAGAGTCCTGTGGCAGTTGTGTAGGGTATCGTATGGTCGGCCCCGTACGACTATACTACTCCGCTCACTGGTTTTTTATTTACTTTTTTTTTTGCATGATATATATGATCAGCTGATTTTACATGTTATTGATGAAGATGATTGTGTTTTCCTATGCTAGGTATTAAGACCACCTAACCATGCTTTAAACTCAATGCTCTGATTTTTTAGCAATTTCAATGTTTGTTGCATGCTTTGAGGCGCCTTTTTGTAAATGTAGCCAGCTGATTATATTATGAGGAAGTAAAGTATCATTTTAACCGCTTGTAGTCAATTTTTATGACTGAGTTTTTTTTTCGCACTATGCAGAGTTAAGCCTATACATTCCTCAAAATCAATGACATTATGTTTTTTCTTCAAATGCCATGTTCGTTGCATAATTTTAGGAGTATTTTTGGTAAATGCAGTCAACTGTTTATATTATTGTTACCTGTCCTTTGAATTGTTTTAAATATATTTTACATTAATGGATTGTCCTGTCTGAGATACAAAGAAAACATATGCATCAATGATATGTATATTATGTTATATTCCATGTATGTTGCATATTTTTAGGCACCTTTTTTGCAAAAGCGATCAGCTGACTTCTCATTTTCTTAAGAATTTAGTATAAATAAAGCTAGGAATAAAATGTATACGCCAAAAAATTCATACGAACCTGAGGAGCATATATTTAATTTTTCTTCGAAATTCGTTAAAATGGCATCCATTTGGATGTGTGATGCATACTTTTTGGCTCTTGTGATTGATTCAAATTAATCGATTGTAAATTTTGCGGCCTTAATAACATTTAGAATAATCTCCATGATATTTTTTAGATATTTATTTGTCCTCGGAAATGTCAACAAATAACTATAATAAATTCTAAACTCATTTTCCGATGCTCTCCACAAAGACCCTATATAAAACTGTTCATTTAAATAGCTTCCAATAACAATGACCACTTATCGGCAAAACCACTTTAGACCACTAATATTTCTATGATTTATTTTTCTATATTTGTTTTGTTGTATTTTCCCCCCACTACTTCCCAAATGAAAAATTGATGTATTAGTTATGGAATGTCATCGTATATCACAAAACTTGTTTGAACTAGTGAAATATGAACATCAATATTTCTACTTTTTTGTCCTTTTTGTTTGTTTTATATATCTCAACATGTATTACATTTTTTTTTTTTTTTTTTTTTTTTTTTGCTGTTTCCTCTTGTGTATAGCCCAGTCAGCCAAAGTTACATTTCAATCACGTCACCGGTTGCTGTTTGTAACATTTTTTTGTTTTGTGTGCCTTTCAGTTTTTTACAAACTTGTCCAGTTTTCCCATTTTGCCAGCCTCCTTGCTTGCCTACTTTCCATAAGCCTCGCCACCGTCTCCCGCCCGCCCTATGCATAATTTATTTTCAGTTTTTATTTCCGTTACGAACTAATCAGAAAGTGTAATTTCCGTTTGGTATTGATGCTGCTGTATTCAGTCGCCTTTTTTAATTTCATATTTTTGTTCATCTACCATTTGAACAGCCTAGCTAGCCTCTTTTTGAGTTCTAGTTTTGCAGTTCAAAGTTTTACTGATATTTAAAAATACAAAACTACAAATGAAAATATGGCATAAAAAATAGAACATCCCTGCAACCCCGATTTCGTAAAGTGAACAGCAAACATTGACCCTTCTTCAGAAGTCAGTTCTTAAAATAGAAACAAAACTAAAAATCCCCTTTAATAATGAATTGATGGGGTGAACTAAACAACAAGTGGCCTTCTCTCCGGACCCTTAAATCGTAACTATTCCAACAATAAATATATTTTTACCTGACCTGTAGGTCGATTCAGTAACTTATAACGATCCGACAATCGACAATTTTGTCTACACAAAAAATCGTTTGCAGTAACGAAAATCTTATTCAGTAAAAATGTAGACAAATTGTCGATAAACTTTCAAAAAGCTTTTAATTTTGAACATTTTGAAAACAAAATACATACAAATTCAGAGCAAAACAAGGCATGTTCAATATTGAAAAATATTTGTCGATAAATTAACTTCGAATATTTTGGTGTTGTTTATTAACAACATTTTTAACAATTGTTGTTAAAAAACTGTTATAGAATTGAAATATTGTTTATTTTGTCGTTATAATAGTTTATCGATTTGAGAATTGTTTAAATTTGATAGTGAATCGACCCACTGAAGTATTGATAGGGCTTTTTGTTGTCAAATTTTATGCTCAAGTTTTGCTTTGCTTGGTTGGCCGGCCGCTCTTTAATTTGTCTAACAAATTTGTTACAGTATTTGTTTTCCAGACCCCCGACCACATTAGCATTTTGGATTTTGTTACTGTTTCAGTTTTTTTATTATTTTCAGTTTCTAGCATCCTCTTTAGGGTCTTTGCACATAGTTCAGGCTTAGTTAGTTTGGCCCCAAAGCAATCATAAATTCATTGCGAGAATATTACAGCTAATACTCTTACAGGTAGTAGTTGTAGTGCCAACAACTGGCGCAACTGGAGGAGAGTCTATTTTGTTGCAATATGCAACACAATTTTTTTCATAATCATGTTAGTGGTCTTAGCATAGTAGGTGCGCAGGGTAGTTCGAAAATTTTATCAATACACTGAGAAAAAAAAGGAGGACACTTTTTAGGGAATATTTTTAGGCGCGAAGGAAATTAAATGGTTCTTAAATATTGCCTACATTCAGGCAGTTAATAATTTAAGCTTCGGTTGTGCCTCATGAGAAAATATATCGGAGAAAATATGCATATTTTAGGGAGCTTCAAATATCAGTGCCGACTTTTAGGCATCCAAAAAGTTATTTCTTCAGTAATTCATGATTCTTTTTCCTGATAATGTGATTCCTGATTAGTGTGGAAAATATTTAGCCAAGGCTCCATTCAGAAGTTCATTTCATTTAAAAATCTTCCGTAAGTGGTGCATACTTTTAGGACACGGGTTTTTTTTTAATGTCGATGTTTCAGTGGCATTAGGGCAACAGAAATATTAATATACTTAATTTACCGCTCTGTAATGTCCTTCCATATAGTTGCAGGGTATGTCGAAAAATTATGAATACATTGAGGAAAGAATTAGGATATCTTTTACAGCATACTTTTAGGCACGAAATTAAGTTAATCGGTCCGGAAATAGTGCCCTTGGATCTTTAGGGTTTTTTTATTAAATATTAACATTGTGTACAGTCTTAATCACAAACTGTACAAATATTTTCGTTTGAGTTAGCATACTTTTAGGCATTCAAAAATTGTTTTAGCAAATTATATTTTAAGGTACACACATTTTTAGGCGTTGCAAATAATATTGCCTACTTTTAGGCATCCAAATCAGTTAACTTTAAGTTCCAGCTTCAATCGATTAACATAATATCATAATTGAAAACTACACATGTTTTCAGAAGTTTCAAATAGTAGTGCCTACTTTTAGGCAAGCCAAAAGTTAGTACTTCATTAAGGCATGATTCGCATGGATATCATTAGATAATTTGTTGATAATCATGGAAAGTATTTAGCACAGACTTCATTCTGAAATTCTTAAGGCCTAAATTGGAAACCTTCCCCAAGTGGTGCATACTTTTAGGATACTGTAACGAAAATGTCTTTCTCTCAGTGTCTCTCTGCCATTAAGGCCAACAAAAATATTGCTATACTTAATTTACCGCTCTGTAATGTCCTTCCATCTACTACGACTAAGAGAGACCGACCAGTGTCAGTAAATGTAAGTTTTTACTAACTACAGGCAAGGGTATATATCCGTTTACTGTCAAAGTTGAATTGGTGGCGGTGATGGTGGTCCTGTAAATCGTTGTTTGTTACAATTTGTTTGTTTGCAGGTGATTTTGTTTTTTTTTTTTCGGGAAACTACAATGTGCCTCGGTACACCTATGCAACTTACAATTGGCCTTCCATCCAACCGAGCAAGTACTTCTCTCTCACTAGCTGGCAAATGAAACTAGCAGACAAAAATAAGAAATCCCCCTGGTTTATAAAAACAAATGGGATTTAAAAGTTTCATAGTGATGTTCTTGTTGCTGCAGTTTTGTTGTGTGGCACCATGGTTCACTAAACTTTGAGAATATGCTACAGAGTTTGGATGGTGGAAAAACCTAAACATAGTTTTCCTTCCCTTCGTATATGAACAATTTGATGCTGTTTTTTTGGACTTAAAATGAAAAATTTATTTATTTATTGAGATTGTTCTGCTGTTATGTTTCCCTTTTTCAAGGTAGAGGAGATTATTTCAACCCCTGTATCATCAGAGGTGTTAAAGTGTTGCATGTCGCCAGCACATTTACTTCAAGTTTTTTTGTTATTGAAGGGGGGAAATTTTTAGTAAATTATTGAAACACCAAAAGTTAATGAGCAAATCCTTTATTGTTAATTATTGGATTTCTTCCCTCCAACTTATTTCAATTTTTAAATTCCATTATTAATAAATGTATTTTTATTTTCATCTTCACTTTCCAGGTAAACCCTCAAAAGTAATACATTTGCGCAACATTCCCAATGAATCGAGTGATGCCGATGTCATTGCCTTGGGTGTACCATTCGGTCGCGTTACAAATGTCCTGGTGCTAAAGGGTAAAAATCAAGCTTTCTTAGAAATGGCCGATGAAGTATCGGCCACCTCAATGGTATCGTGCTATAATGTTAATCCACCACAAATGCGCGGACGCATGGTCTATGTACAATTTTCAAATCATCGTGAATTGAAGACAGATCAAAATCCAACGGTAAGTGAATACAAATAAGTCTAATAATAAGAAGATTTTAGTGGGATCAAAGAAAGGCCTTATCGAACTGAGGGCTGAGAAAAAATAATTATTTACTGAAATACCTGTTTCATTCTATATTCATTATAATACAACAACTATAAACTAAAACCACATGAAGCGAAAATTTTTAAAAATAAATCAAATACAAATCAGATTTGGTAGATGTATTCTCCTTCGTTTATTTCGTTCTCACTGACAAGAACCCTTCTTCTGCCGGAACTGTAAACAGATTTCAGTATTAACTTAGTGTTTATTTCGTTTACGAGCGGAATGATCAAGAATTTCCCGATGCAGTTCAATAGTTTCAGAAACCGCATATACCGAATTTCAGTCATGCGAATTATTTTCTACTTTTCGAACTATTCAAAAAGAGAATTCTCTGAAGCGAGGCTTTGTGAACTCTATGAGACAATTCGACCCCAAATTTCCAGTAAAAGTTCTCTTCAGTAGGTCTACAATAGACGAATTACACTTCGTCTTGAAATCTAAATTCCATTTTGAAAAACAACCGATCAATATAACTGACGAACCTCTTTAGATCTAGCTGAGCGTTTGTCCCCCTTCCAATGTTACAAAACTTTGGACGTTCGCCTGCATTAAAATATTAACCACTATCGGTTTAGTAATGTTGGAGTTTTTTGTGAAAATCCTTATCTCATGGGATTCAAACCCGGGTATTCTACTGCACCTACGCCAATATATTTTAATGTTGGAATACCTTAGAAGTTTTACTCATTTATGGTCCAACATCACTACATCGGTTTCCATTATCAATTTGCACGCTCTGCTAAAATAAAATGGCCTGCCGGAGATCTCTTCCGATGTTAATGGTAAATTACTGCTGAATTCGTCAAGGACGATGGCAAACGTTCAGTCTAATAGTTTTAAAGTTATTTTGGTCTAACTTCAGTTTTTTCGAATTTCAAAAGTTTAGGCAAGTGGTTAGGACTCAATTCGGGTAATGGCTAGTTTTGTGAATATCCTGACATTCAATTTTGCATGAAAGTGTTTTGATTTCTATCTGATTATTCAGGAGGAGCGGAGTTATCATACTTCTAAAACATAATTCTCTGAAGGGAGTTTTGGTAAACTTCCTGATACAGCCCAAGTGGCATTTAAGTAGTTTATGAAAGAGCTTAGGACTCGATTTAGGTGTTCGAATTCCATTTCACTACTCGAACTTAAAGTGACCAGAAAGTTATCTGAATCCACGATTTGTGAACTTCCTATTTCACCAATTTTTGGAAAGTACGTTGGTTCCTATTCGATTCCTATGAGGTTCCTATGAGATTTCCCTGAAGCGCACATTCCGATTCCAGTCATCTATCTTCAGTCCAGCAAAGATCTTAGGTCTTAACTCGGGTATACGGATTTCGTTCTGCTATTTGAAATTAAAATATGCTAGACTAGGAAGCCAAACTATGTGAACATTCATTAGTCGGTCCCTCTTATGCGAGGCTTCTGAACCTTCTGAGTCATACCAATTGACTGCCAAATATTTTGGGAAGGTGCTTATGCCCCTGTTCGGTTATTTGAAATCCGTTCTACTACTCCAACATAGAACATTACCAGCCTAATTGGTTTCAAATATTTTCGGAAAGTGCCTAGGTTTTTATTCGGTTATTAAACCTGGAAAAGTTATCCTTTACTGGAACATTAAAATGCTACAATTTTCTGTAGAGACAATTAGAGAACTTCGTATGTTAGCCAAATAGGCTTTACATTGGTTTCGAAAAGATAAGCATTCAATATGTTTTTCGCATTTGGTGGTCCCCAATCGTCGTGGAAAACGTTTCAAGGGATGAGCTGAAGTTGCATTGTATACCTGAAGTAAATTCAATTACCCGTAGTGGTGCCATTTAAATCAAGGTTTTGTTAAGCGAACTATGATGTTATCCCCTACATATGGATGTGAGCATGTACCATGTAAATTAGGTCCCACTTTAGTTCAGTCAAATAGATATCTCTTGTGACGATTCACAGTGCACTATAATGCTCTCTCTTTAGTGTAGATGACCATCCTAATCTGCAGTGAAAAGCACAACGAAAGAAAGTGTTATTCTAGACTATTTCCAACATCTAGCATGTTCTCTCAATACTTTTGATGGCCCTTCAAATTCAGAATATATCTGGCGAATTCCGATAATCTCTACATACTCAACTAGGAGTGTTCTAAATGTTTCCTGAATCCTGAATAAAAGAATAATTTAGTTTGCAGCTATTTTTGGCTACGCTCAGTAGGTCCACAAATGTCAGTAGGAGAAATATCCAATATATGACGGTCAATTCAATATTTCAGAATATAGAATCGTCTATTGAAAAATGTGATTCATCAGGTGATAGAACATATTTTTCATTTTAGTTTTCACTTCTGGAGAAATATTTTCTGAAAACTTTGTAACCATCGCAACGGAATACCTTCTAATTTTTCTCTGAGTTCTCAGCATGTTACAGTATTTAGATTCTGAATCACTGCAAATTTATTTCTAATTTTCCGCGTGTTACAAAATTCAAAAATCCTTTCAGTTAAACATTCTGTCTTCAAACTGCATGCATATCGTATCTTTCAAACCTGTCTAATTTCAAAAATATCCTAGAAAATATCACTACGTAATGACAACTGAAACTTCTATTGCAGTTAGCTTTCTAATTTATTTTTGAAACTTCTACCCCCAAAAATCCCCTTCCGAACTTCTTGGAAAGACCTTTCAAAACATTACAACACACCCATAGTTATGTTATGTGTTAGCTCCTAAGTAGTAGATACCGGGTTGGTGGGTAAATCTATTCTAACTGCTGGCATATTGGTTTTCTCCACATTTTTCTTTCAATTAATTAAAATGATATCATATTCAGACTTTTCCATTATAATACTTGAAATTTGTCGTCATCAGCATTGTTGTTGTTGTTGCTGCTGTTCCATTCTGTGCGTATCTGTGCATTTTGGTTGAATTTTTTGTTTGCGTTGTCTGGTTGCTGCTTGCATTTCTGGATTTTAGTTTTTGAATTTGATCCTTTTTTGAAGCAGCATAAACATGTCTACATGTGTTGACTGGTTTCCCCTCTTTCTCACACACACTCCTGCAAACACAAACAAAAAGAACAACAAATACCTTTGGAGAAGTAATTTTGAAAAATTCAATTTTCATCTTGAACCCACTTAAACTCTGTGTGCAAAAAAACCGAGAGATATGCGGGTTTCACTCCTCCTTAGATTGGTATTCATTGTTTGTCATTGTCGTTGTTGTCGTCCTGCACATGTCATATGATATTGCATTTTTTGGGGAAAAAATTGCCATACTTTAAAGAAAAAAGTTTTCTAGTCTACTTCCAAAGACTAACTAAAGTGAATTTCAGGTTATCATTACCTTCGATGGTAACCAGTAGACAGATTGGCTGTTTGGTTAGATGGTTGGTTGTATGAGTTCCGTTATGGGTTATGTGAAGTTTACAATTCAGCACGTGCTAAGTTGTAAAGTTTCCCTTCTGTATTTTTTTCTTTTATGATAAGGTTTCAGGAAGTTTGTCTGACCGACCTTAAAGATTAGACGTCTCAGTAGTTGTGCATTTGGTTTTTAGGGGGAAATAAATTCTTTGGATAATAACGGTCGTTGTGATCCTCCGGATGATTCTACATTTCTGTGATTATTTCTTAATGACATATTTTGCCTTACTTCAATTGCAATTCAAGTCAAATATGAAAAGGGTTATTGAATAACCCCTCAAACAAGTAGATAAATTTAAACTTAGTCTAGGAATTAAATATTTAATATGGGTATTGGTGGCGTATGACACATGTCGTACATTATACGCCACCCATAGCCCTATTAAGTATTTAATTGAAAATAAAACTCAACATTATTTCCATCATCGTTTAATATTTATTACCAACATCATGATGCTGCATACATTATTCGAAATTAATTTCAATGAATTAGTTGGAAATTCTGCCAATAAGCCAATATTAATATTAGTGGTTTCTCTGCTCCATCTCCGATAAACCAACAAATAGTAGTAGATTAATGCAAATAACCCACATTAATAGCAACATTCTATAAAATGCTAATGCCTGCCTATAAAATGTTAAGTATTATGAATTTTTGTTAATGGGTTAATAGGTTGTTGGAGCTCGTATAACATTGATTTTTCTGCAAATAAACATAAATACCAGATTTGCGCAACGTAACCATAATGTTCTTTAGAGGCTACATAGACTATAAAATTTTATGTAAACTAGCTAACTAACTAAATAATGTGGTGGTGCTGGTTGATAATGACTTCGATGTTCTTGCCTATCTACCTACCTAACTACTTAACTAATTTCTGTAATCATTCTAATTGGCAGTTATGCAAGTTAATGCGAAAATGTGAATTTTGCTCGAAGAGAATAGAAATTACACAGAAACTGTGGTTATGACAAGGATTTCATTGGCTGCTTAAGATTTTATTCTTTTACAAGTAAAAGTCAGAGAGAGAGAGAGAGTAAGGGGAGAACAGACGAAAGGTAGTAGAATCCTCCACATATTTGGATAAATTTGAATTCATTAACAATACAAGAACATAGCTAATTATATGGCTTACGAGAATGATTTAGTGGGTTAATATAAATGATAGGGAAATTAGGATAGGCAGATTTTGGTATTGTGTAGCTCCCTCGAAAATAAATTCAAGAACATAACATATGTTATTTTCTTGACTTTATGTCATTTCATATGCTTGGCAAGTTGCTGAACGACAACAGCCATAATACTTAAAGAAAAAAATATGAAACCTTAGCAAATGAAAGGTGAAGCTAAGGTAAATGTTGTTGTTGGTTAGGAATGAGAAGGAAATGACAATCATATTGTCAGTCAAAATGTAATAAAATAAATATAAGAAATACACAACGAAACGTGATGGCAGCTATGGTGCCAAAAATGTTGAAACTGACAATGACATATATACCTAGGCATAGGTGA